AGTTCAGGTTATATTCCATTCCCCTGCGCTGATCTATAAGTTTTTAGTATCTTTTATAGTTGTGTGTCTTATTCTTGCAAAGCCCAGTTTAATCCATGCGTGAAAATACTGGTTAGTTTTGTTTTTAATTTGTGCTGCCTTAGAATTACCAAATGTAAGCTTTGACGTCTCACGGCTCTTTTTCTTTAACTTTAACCTGTTTTTTCATTGTGTTTTTTATGTTCAGAGGAGTTGAAATGCAAATCTGTTCGGTCCCTGAATGCCGTCCGTGGTACCCGTTCTCCCTCAACTGGGCCTCTCAGTGTTTGTCCTCCCAGAGGCGTCCACTGTCCCGCCAAACCTCCCCTGGACCTCAACTCTGCCTCATTAGGTCTGCACCAGCTGTCCCCGACCGGCTCCGGCAAGCACAAACCGCAGCGGCCGCTGACGACAGAGAAGGTCAAGGTCACCCTCCACGTGCAGTGGACGGCTCCCTCCCTCCTCCGTGGACTGCCGGCGGCCTCAAGAGCTCTGCCCCTCCGCCCTGCCCCCGGACAGAGCTCCCTGAAAGCCGGTGTGCGACCCTTGTGAACGACACGAGCTCGGCCATCCACCTGGTCAAGTGGCCAACAGCCGACCGAATTGCTTTCAGGCCGGAGCTGGACGTGGTGGAGAAGCAAATGGAGGAGAGAGGACCGCTGCTCGTGGACTTGAGCAGGCCCGTGGTCACCCGTAACACGGAGAAGGAGCGAGGACGCGCGAGCCAAAGTGCCGGGTAGAGACGGCGCAAGGAGAGCCCAAGCCTCCCTGCGGGGAAAGACGAGCTGCTGGGTTTAGATTCCCCCAACCGAGCAGGACGGCGAGTACTCGGCATCTCGAAACAATTAGTCAATGAATCGACTAACTTGAAAGTTAAAGTTACCGTGCAGACGCAAAAGATGCACTGCAGAATTATTTCCTTGGTGTAGAAATAACTGTAGTGTTCATTTTAGTTTATTTTATTTATTTTGTATGTCTTCACATGAGTAGCATGAAGGAACTTTTCATTTTGTTTTATAATCTTGCGTTGCATAATGATAAAAAAGCATTTTCCTTTTATAAAATAAAAAAACATTCCTTGATTTCTTCTCTAAAGTGAGGATTTGAGGCTTTTCTCTGTTCTGTTTTATTGTAAATTAAGTTTTGGACTGCTGGTTCAATATAGCAGAAAAATGTTTCACAATAAATATTATAATTTCAGCCAATATTATTAGAATTATTGACATTTTTAATGGCCTATTTGTAGTGGGAAAAAGGGTTGAATTTAACCACTTTATTTATGAATGTTAATGTTAATGTTCTGCCACACAGTAGTGAGTTATCTCCATCATGAGCGGATTGTTTCTTAAGATATAACAGATGTAGGTCAGACTTCGTCGAGTGCTCGATATTCTATTGAGCAATGTTCTTATTGCCATTGACGAAGCGTCTCCTGCCGACACATACTGCCGTTTGCTTTCATTGTCCAGGCCTAATGAAAGTCACCATCAGCTGTATCTTACCAGTACTGAGCTCAAAGTCGTCAAGCAGTTTGTCCAGATCACATACAGCTGCCTTGAAGAAGCTGTCCATGCTGGGTTAAAACGCAGGGCCCGTAACGCCCGTCCAATTCCTACAGAGGAGAAGAGATCGTCATTTAAAACGCCACATTTTTTCTTTTCTGTTGGGAGAAAGTGTAAAAAAAAAAAGTCTCCTCAAGAGGAAGAATCTGGGTCAGTTGTTGACACATTAACCCAATGAGACGTTCTTGTTTCCTCATTCTGCGGACTGGATATCGCCGTAGCAACAGCTGTAAGGAATAATGCAAACAATAACAAAAATATATTCAGCCTTAGCAACTGAAGCCGGCGGTAATCAGGCTTCAAAGGTACGAACCACACCTTAAAGAGTATAAATATTTACTGAGACACAGCTGGACCGTGGTATCAAATGTGTACTGTACATATTAGGGGCAAGTTATTCAAACATTGTGCTGGATCACCATGCTCTGGGTGTTTCCACAGGTTAAATCTAAGATGTGAATGCACTTTAAGAGCTATTTTACATCCATACCGGCCAAAAACAAGAAATATATGAAGGAAAACGAAGACAGCCTCTTCTTTAAGATTAGATTTTAGGCTTTTTAAGACCCCCAGACGCTCTGCGAGACAATCTCCACTGCTCCTGTTAGCACATCATCGCAGTCTATCATTAACACAAAGCCTACCTTCTGCAGAGCGACCGCTGCTGCATAACTTACATCTGACGTGTGGCCGCGTATCCTTGAATTCAAGAGCACAGACGCAGGTTTGCGGTGACGGTGAGCGACTACAACCCTCACACGGACCAGTTTCTAAACAAACATGTTCTGTTGCGTCATGTGATTCGTGTTTCCTCCCATCAGCCAGCACACAGTGCAGCGACTAGTTCAGCAACTTCTGGGTATAAAGCGGTTTGTACTTGATGAATTAACTGTACTGCTTTTGGACACACGCTCATTTCCTCCTGAGTAATC